GACATGTTTCAGGGATCCACTACCTATTTACCTTGACTCCACTGGTGACATAGTGGCTTTTCAGGGCAGCTGCATCTTGCAAAAGAAAGCTCCTTGCACACAGTATTTCAGGCATCACCAAATGATTTAAGAGCCACTTTCTTGCTCTGTTATTGAGTATTTAACCAGGTTCTTCGCTTGGATGACTAAATTGTAGGAAGTCCAAGACAGTGGGGAGGATTTTGTAGCTGCACACAGAAAATAAATCCGTAAGATAACTTCGTTAGTTTCAGACCCTTCTGTTATGCCAGTGTTTTCCTCATTTATCACCAGTGATGTCAGCACTAGAAAACACCTGGAGGTGGTTGGATTCCCCATGTATTCTTCACATAAGAGAGCATTTTATCAATGTACATAAAAATGGTGCAACTGGTGGTAAAGGGTTTTGTGCAACATTCATACTGCACCGAAATTCTTCAGGGAGATGTCTGCATTTTTCCAGGCTGTGGTAGAGCAGGCTACGTTTGATTAGAGCCTGTAGATTTGAGCACAGTGTGAATATTTAGTAGTGATGAAAAGCAGTGACAATCAGTAAAGGCACTCAGTGTCCCTCTCCCCAGGCAGGGTCACCTCGCTGGCCACTGCGTGGTCAGTGGTGGTGGCAAAAGTCTGGAGGTCTCAGGGTTGTGCCAGGCTGAGGAGTGAAATCTTGGACAGGAGGGACCAAAACCTGCAGGAAAATGTCCTGCAGAGCCTGGACCCGCGGGGGCTGCAGCAAGGATGTGGGGTCTGAATGCTTGGGAGAACACCCGGGAGGAGAACAGAGATAGGATCTCAGCACACAGCCGCACCCTGCTCATCAACCTCTGCTGTAATTCTCCCCGACGAACACTGTCCCACCATCCGGTTCCCGTGCTCAAATCTGCCTGTTTGCCAGGGGAAAGGGTTGAGAGAGCTGCTCCTGGAAGTTCCTGTGTTTCACTGGTGGCTCTGCACCTCTGATGAGAGAGGAAAGGCGATACATTTTCAACTTTAGAGGCTGAAATGAAATTAGATGTAAATGTAAATGCAGTGCGAGCAATGAAGGCAAATTTGCTCATTAATCTGGGTGCATCTCCTTTTTCCCCTCCCTTACACTGCAAGTAGCACTACTGGTACCTGTGCCTGTGTCACCTCTTCCCTGTCCTGCCTTTATCCTGCAGGAGAATTTCCTTTCTTCAGAGAAAACTTCCAGGCTTCCCAAGGTGCTGTATTCTATTCATGTTTAGTGAGGACATTTAGTAACTTCAGAGATTCCCAATTAAAAGCTTTCAACTATTTCTAAGATTTTCAGTTAAGGGTTAATTGTAAAAGGGCAGGAATAAACAGAGGCCGAGGCAGCAAGAGAGGAGATGAGGAACGTGGGGACTGGGAGAAAGGAACAGTGCCTGGACATCCAGGAGAAATGTTTATTTGCACCACTTCTCTTACCTTTTCCCCCAAAAGGGGGCCTGCTTCTTAATCTAAAAGGGAATTTAGACTGAGCAAGAATGTCTGGCTCAGTGGGCCTCTGCAGGTGAGGTGGAGATAGGAAAATGTTTGGTGTCAGCAGGGAAACCCATTTTTTTTAGGTAATTCTGTCACTGTCCCAGTTTACCCTGTGTGTCTTTCTTTTCCTTCATGGTCTCCCTGCAAAGGAACCTTAACCCACCCCTCCCTGTTTATCTGGTGCCACTTAACTACCCAAAACCACAATTAACTCTCTCCTGCTGTCAAATTAACTTGTTACCACAGGTTTTAAACTTGCCTTCCTCATCAAGAGGAATAGAAATAGTACAAATACGTTATTTTGCCTTCAGAATGACACCTGGCAGTGTTTCTTACCTATTGATTTAAATAATTTAGCATTTTAAAAGGAACAAATCAACTTAATTTGTTTTGGGGATACTTAAAGGTTGAGGACAATTTTATATCAATTAAAATCAGTGCTAATTCATTTATGATGGAACTAATGTAATTAATTAGGTAGTTGCTGCTTATCTTCTTTCTAATACATACATTGCTTTTAAACATCTGCTCAATAGACCATTATGATAGCACAGGAGTGATTTTACCTGAGAGCAATAGAGGAGCAGATGCTTCCTGATGACAGCTTCCCAATTTGTTTAGGAAACAGCCAGCCAGTCCTGGATTCACAGTTTTAACTTGAAGCATGGCAGACATGCAAGTAAATTTGAAAATCAGAAAAATAAAAAATTTGAGGAACAAGTTTCTTCATATTGTTTGTAATAACTGCAGTTTGGTTAAAATGCCTTTTTTGGTTAGTGTTGTATACAACATTTTTTAAGGTTGATGTTTGTGTTTTGTCTTTTGTGGTGTCTGTACACATGTGAATGCTTTGCAGCAAAAACATTTTGCATTTATAAAACCATCAAAATTTAAATTTAATTTCAATGTTGTCTAGTACAGTAACTAAAATTTAGCATTAGCTCAAAAAGAGTCAGAACAACACAAATATGAAGAGGAAATGAGAACAATTATTCAAATAAAGAGTTAAGATAGGCTATAATGACATTTATGAAAATAAAGTGAGTTTTGCTTTTTTAAAAATAAGTTACACCTGTGTTTTGTATTTATGGCTTTATCTGTAGCTGGTTAAAGAGTAAAAATGAAGTCTTGTGAGCTGATATAAAACTATCTGAGGCTCCTTGGTTCTAGTGAGCCATTTGTAGATTTTTAGATGTTTCAGAGATCACCTAAAATGACTGTACTCGTTTTATTCGTCTCATCAGCAAAGTTCATCTCATCAGCTACAGAGATACCATCAAAACTTGTAGGCTACAAAATGTACTTTCCCTACAGAAATACTGTGGGCTGTACTTGCAGAGACTGTAAAGAGCACGATTGCACATCAATGATGTGTCTTTTTAAATCAGAAAACGTGAAATTGCTGTTTACTGAGAGGAAGGGGGATTAGAGTAGCCCTGAGGAGGATTCAGCTATTTGCCTTTGCGTGCAGGTCTAAAATAGTCACAAATTAGTCATTTTACCATTATATACAAAATGCAGTGTATGCAGACAGTCTTCTTTTCTAGAACTGTGGTATTTAGCAGGGGAACAGGTAGTCTTGCCATTTCCAGAAGTATCTTTTAGGGCAGGGTAAGCTGGTGACTAAGCAGGAGGTAAGGCTGTGGTATCTGATGAAACATTAATGCCTGGGAAGCACCATGTAGGCTCAGTTCTGAGCACAGACTCTTTCTCTTCATGAAAACTGTGACTGGGTTTGGTTTTTTTGTTTTCCCACAGGCTGCTGATGGTCTCTTTTGCTATTCTTCTAAAGAAGGGTCAGCATTACATGGAGAAGAAATTGATTTTTTTTCTTGTTTTTTTTTTTTTTTTAAACCTGTGTTTTACATATAACCACTGGGTATGACTCGTGTGAGGAGGAGAACTTCCCTTCTTTTCACTCATGTGAGAACTGGGCATATCATACCTGTCCTTATCTGGCCTGTGACATCAGGAGCAGCAATCATCACTGTCCTTCTGGCAGGTTGACTTTAGGATCTCTTCCCATGCAGTTTTTAAAACTAACTTAACCCAGAGAACACGTTTAAAAACATTCCCATTCAGTGCTTTAAGCACTTGTTTCCCCACAAGCAAAAATCAACCATTTTCCTGCAGACATCTAGGATTTACCAGGAAACCTCTGCTCTGTGGCCATCTGTGATCTTCTCACTTCAAAAATGTCCAAAAATGTATGGGCAGTTCCTTGCTCTGCAGCTTCCCAAGCTCTGGGCTTTCATTTGTGAACTTCTGTCCCTCTGCCTCAGCAGCATCTGGGTGTCTAATACATTAAATTTGGGGAAAGTCACATGTGGAAAAAAAACTGAAAATATCTTGGGTGTCATTACTGTTAAAGTTCATCCGTTTTTATATTTGTTCATATATTGATTCATCCATTGCTGACTTGACTAAGGATGTGAGATAAAAAAGCAAAATAGCTTTAAATTTCTGGTGTGTTGCCTGAACATAGTGTTCAGAGAATGCTGGTTCTTCCTTTCTGCTTAGTCTTTTTCTGTTTTGCTTGGACAGATACCATAAGCCAATATTCAGGGTTGCTTGGCAATAGCCAAGTTGTGAAATGCACACCCAACCTGTGGGGCATTATGGTTGCTAAGTTCATGCATGTAAATTTGGGGGTTTGAGCACTGAACAAGTCCACACCCGGAGTGTCTTCTTGGAAAGTTTTTTCTTATGTTTAATCTTAATGGCGTTATTAATTTAATGGTTCCATTTTCAGAGACGTTGAGTTATGACAGCTTTTAGAAAAGTCCAAACAACTGGGTGCTTAGCACTGTTGGAATATTAATTTGAAGTGTTGTGAAATTTGTGCTGCAGCTGGGGTATATCTCAATGCAATTAGTTTCATCTATTTTGATTTGTTTCAAATCTACCATAAACTTTAGTACTTTACACCTAGAATATACACTAACAGGGGAAGAAAAGCCCCCTCTCAGTTTTATTACTGTATTTTATGTTATTATTATAATTACATTATATGATATATTTTATATTATTAGCAAAAGCAACTCCTGGCGAAAAGCCTTTAAAGAAAGTAGATCAGAGGATTTTTGGTGGATACGTTTGATTTGTCTTTTGGCAAGCAAAACCAGATTATTTAAGGATACACTTCTAAAATGGTCTATACTGAATGTAATGAGGAGAGGTACAGCTGTAGTCCCCTTATTGTGCCAGTTACTGTGCCATGAAGATTTTAGAGAGAGCCTTAGAAAGGTCTCAGCTCTGGAAAGGCTTGCAAATAGTTCACGGTTTGTGGAAGGAAGCGTGCAAGATGTCTTTGTACATTTCGGACTCCTCTGATTTTCTTGCTAGCGTTGAGAAATTCCCTTGGGAGTTCGCATTAGCAGTGCTGTCTGTGAAGGGGGTGGTTGCCATTATTTCCGTTCTGCATGTTCACTGGGCTCACAGCAGTTTCAATGCAGAGGCTGACGTGTTGCTGTGGTCACTGTGTGTCGTTTCAGGAGCCCCTGGATGACTCTCAGGCTGCTGGGGCTTGCAGCACAGAAGAAGTGGTTCGCTATGAGTACCACGTCCTGTACTCCAGCAGCTACCAAGTGCCTGTGCTGTATTTCAGAGCATGCTTTTTGGGTAAGGCCACCACAGACTCAGTGTGTTTGGTGCAGCAGATGTGGAAAATTCTGTTATCAAGTTGAGGAAGAGATGTAATAAGAGACGAAGAGATTGAGGCTGCTCTCCAGTGAATTTTTCAGTGCTCTGGACTCAGAACTCCAGGAGCGTGGAGGACAAAACAGACTAAATATGTTGGGTGGAGTAGATGTAGAAAATTTTCAATCAAGCTGAGGAAGAGATGTAATGAGATGAAGAGATTGAGGCTGCTCACCAGTGAATTTTTCAGTGCTCTGGACTCAGAGCTTCAGGAGTGTGGAGATGATGATATCATCCCAGCCTGAGGGGAGGCTGATCTTTGGCTCCTGGCATCTTGCCTGTGGTTGACTGAAACTGCCGGTCATTTTTCTTGTTCTTTTCTTGAAATGTGTACGAAAACTTAGAGCTTAGAGATTTAATCTGTGCTGGGCAATGAGTGGACAGTAACCACAGTGCTTGAGCCACAGTTTGAGCCACCAAGGCTGGGGTCTAAATGTGTCTTTTAAAATATATGCTGTTTTCTGTTTAAATTTGCTGCTTCAGGGAAAATAAAATAATACCAATATGATATTGACTTTTTTTTTTTTTTGTATTGAAGCTGGCTCTTGAAACAGTCTGATCCTGGTATGTACATCTTGTTACCCACTGCTCCGTGGCTGTAGCCACTGTGATTTCAGCCCCCATCCTGTCAGGGGAGGCAGGAGGAACGCTCAGCCTCCCACAGAGGCCACTGTTGGTGTCACTGATTTAATCAGGAGTGATCACACTGCAGCACTGGCTGTGCTCTGCTCCTCGCTGCCCCAGGCCTGTGTACCTGTGCCTCCAGTGGAACCTGGCTTGTGCCTGCACTGGTGTGGCCAGCAGGACCAGCTTGTGGCACTTGGGTACAAGGTTTAGTGTCAAGCATGGCTGTGTTGGGTTAAGGCTTGGACTCGATCATTTTAGAGCTCTTTTCCAACCTAAATGATTCTATGATCAGCATCTTTTTTGTTTTGAATAATATCTTAACTTTATCTAGATAAAGATGTCTGAATGTTGCCAGTGATATCTTTTTCTTTTTAATTAAAAAGTAGCTTAAGCTGCTTTGAATGTGTTTGGTAGATTTAATCACTCTCTGCCTTATATTGTTTAATGGTTTCTAATTTTGCAGTGTTAGCGTTTCAAAAAGCACTTCAGATTCAAAACTGAAGAACAAAATTCTCATAGGCTCCCTGTTGGAAAGATTTTAGTCTGAGGTGCAGTTTCAGGAATGAATAATTTGGGGTAAATTTTCAGACTGGGACGTGGGGAACTGGGGACATTGCTCTGCCTTTACCACCACCAAAACTCATTTGCACACATCCTGTTGCAAATTTATTTCCAGCATTATTACAGGCATTTACAAACGTGCAGTGTTCTGCCTTTGAACTTATTGTGCAGACAGGAAGATAAAGGTAGTTTTGCTGTGAGAGACGGGTTAGCCTATTTGTGGTCCTGAAAAAATGTCATCTTCTTGATTTTTGCTGAATTTATAGTGCAGTGTCTCTACAGAAGAGGATGGAGACGCTGCAGGTAGAGGAAGTAGGACAGTATCTCTACTGTACTGTACTTCCATATAATTAGTATTCACCATAAGCAGTTAATCACCAGAGAAGAGCTCACAGAGACAAAACAAGTTGTTTAGCTTGTCAGCACCAGGGAATCGGAGGTGTTGAAACATGACTCCTTATAGCTGGAAGTGGATATTACAGGAGCCAGTGGATGATCTAATGCACAATCATGGTATTATGTGCCAACAGCTCCCCTTGCAGTACAGAGCTGTAATTGCTCCTGCAAGTACAATTATCTTTTAAAACACTTCTTGGGAGCCTCTCACAATGGAAAACAAGGGCTTTTTTTAGATGCTTCCGAAGGTCACCTGGGTTCTCTTCAGCATTTTAAATTCTCTTTTAAATTATAACAATATCTGACTCTTGAAGGGAGCAGGATACAAAATGCTGGCAGTAAGTGTGTTTCCTACAGTGTTACCAGCTGGTATTCTCTGATTTTAATTATGGGCAGCTTACTTTTGAAGATCAGGAATTCTGTCTTCCCTGCACATTGTTGGTCTGCCTGTGCCGTGCTGTCTGAAGGTCCCAAAGTGGGATTTTTGGAAATGTACACTTGTCACTTGCTCACAGACACTTGAGATACGTGAGCAGATTATCCTTTGTCTTGTCCCAAACTTGCTGTGAGGAAAACTCTGGGAAATGCCCTGTTTTTTTTTCTTTCGAGGTAACAGTCCATGTCATGGGCTCCTCACTTTGCCAGACAGTCGGCAATATTCATTGCATTCCTCACCCGCACTAATCAAGGAACAATCTCCCCAAAACTTACCTCAATTTCCCAGTCTAAATTCCTACCATTATTTGTAGACTCGGTAGCAGGAGGAGTTCCTCCCAAGTCTCCTGTGAGCTGTTCCTGGTTCCCCTGGGATCCTGTCCATACTGATCCCCGTGCTAATTACAGCTGGCTGCGGGAGGTAGAGGTGAACAGTAATCCTTCCAGCGAGCTTCCACAGCCCTGCCCCGTCTTGCCTTCCCCAGCACAAGGCACAGTGCTGGAATTCAGAGCTCTGCTTCCTCCCTGGCAGTGCCTGCAGTGCCCATCACACCTGGGAAACAATAATTCCTCTGTTCAACCTGGCTGAGGGCTTTTGCAGCATTCACTTCCTCCCTTTGTGTAACAGCAGCTGATGCCAGCCTGTCCAAATCTGCACTCCAACAGACACTTTACAAACTTCTCTGGAATGATGAAACCAGTGAAATCCTGCCTTTCTCCCGCTGCGTGTGAGTCCAGCTTCCATTTCCCTGGTCTCTCAGTCCCTCCTAGGAAAAAGCTTCCCTGTAGAGTTGCTGGGGGGATTTTCCTGTGATCTCCAGCTTGGTTGGCATCCTCAGGAGCTTGTGGCGGTAAAGACATCCAGTTTTCACTCCTCTGTGCTAGAAGTTCAAGCATTACAGATCACTTCTTCCTGCAGAAGGGAAAAAGTTGCATTGTATCCTTGTCCTCGCTGCTGTCTAAATTGGATGAAATCACTTTCTTGAACTCAGCTCGTTTTTGTGGTTTGTGAGGTGAAGTTTGCTACGTAAGGTGGTGCAAAGTAAGGTTTGAAATTTTGATTGCAACTGAGCTAAAACATTTTGAGAGACATCTAAACTTTTTTGTAGTCTCAGGGGATGGATTTACAGGGAACATCTTGCTCTGTGCAAGGACAAATACTTCAGTTGAAAATAGTGATTAAACATGATGAGACTGTCTGGAAAGGTGTTTGGGAACACTATAGGGTACAAGAAGATATTTTTAGGCAGTGTGTACATACGTAAGAAACACTTTTCACTGCCTCATGATACTTTCCACGTGGCATATATTACTAATTTCAGACCTGCTGAAGTCACAGTCAAATGTCAGGAGCTCAGGGCAGAAGCTAATTTCTCCAAAATCAGCCCTGTGCCTGCCATGCCATCCAGAAACTGAGCCCTTCTTTCTTTCCCTGGCTTCTGAGACTACCAAATAGGTAGTTGAAGAAATGCATGAACCCCTGCTGATATCTGATGTCAGCAATTAGCCCTCTTGGAGACAGATGGTATAGGCAATTATCCTTCCCCTTCAATGCTGGCATCAGCCAGATGGGCTGAGCTAGGTCCAGTAAGCTTTCTTTAATCAGCAGAGTATTTTCCTCTTTTCCTAGTCTTTAAGATGTCAAGGAGCTTCGTTTTTTCCCCCTGAACCATCCCTATCTGAAGGCAGCCATTCAGAACCCTCTTGCCATACATTAGAAAACCCACAGTGAGGTATCAGCAGCACAGGTGAGCACGGGCACCATTCAGGGATCACCCTGTGTGTAGAGGAAATAATGGCTCCTCTCACACTTCTCCTTCTTCCTGCAAAGGCAGAGGAAGCAGCATGAAAGCTGGCTAAACACTGAAAAGAAAGAGCAGGACTAATGGGAGTCAACAAGAACTGCACCCTCACTCCTCTAGAGAAGAGAAAAGAAATGAGGTTTTCAGGCTGACCTGCTCAAAATGCTCTCTCAGCTCAGTGACAGCTAAATCCCTGCCAATAAAAGCCATGCTAATCAGTGGTTAGAGAGAGGGAGCTTCTGAGATAGGGCAACTTCCTCCAGCCCTGAAGGCATGACTTTCTGTATTCACAACCACACTGGGCCTGACTGAAGTGCTTTCCAGAATACAGATTTACTTCCTGAGCTCAAAAACATGTAACCACCATGTCCTTTCTCAGAAACACAGCTGCTCTAAAACCATATCCTGTAAAAACTGGTTTTATTGTGGCTTTGGACATAACTGAAATGGAATAATTTCTATGATCATACATTCTCTTAAGCCGTAGGAGGGTTTTTTTCTCTTTTGGCAATGGTTTCTTAAGTTTGTTTCTTTATAAAACACATCAGAATGAAGCCTCCAAACGGTTTGTGCACCATTTCAGCCAGAGTGTCAAATAACCTTTAATTGAAAAATCTTAGAAATTGTTGAAAGCTTTTCATTGGGAATCTCTGAACTTATTAAGTGCCCTCACTAAACATGAAGAAAATAGAATACAGCACCTTGAGAAGCCCGAAAATTTTCTCTGAAAATAAATACGGAATTTTGTCTGCCTAAAGATTTCCTCTTTGCAGAAATTAAGGTCCAGCTGAGAACTGCCTTTCCTGTGTGGTCTGACAGCCTCACCTTGCTGCTGTGAGAGGGCACTCAGTATTCTGCTTTTTAACTATTTCTTACTTGGTGACATGATCGAGTTAACCCCAGCTGGACAGTCAAGAAGCTTTTCTCAGAAAAGTTTGTTGTAGTCTAAAAAGTGTAAATAATGAAACTATCCCAGCTGTACTTGGGATAAGCCTTGGGACACACAGCAGGCTGTGTCCTTGTGGGTGACTAAATAAATGCATAGAGCCTTCACCTTCCTCTCCTACCCCTTCTCGTGGCTTGGTGCTGCTGTTTCCTTCTCATTCTGGCTGAACTTCCCAGTTCAGCCCCATCCTAGGGAAAAAAAAAAGAGGCATGAAGGCAAGAGGCTGCTGGGCTCAGCAGGTGCCACAGTGGGCCCTTGTTGCCAGCAGCAACAATTACTGACTGCTCTGTCAGACCAGCTGGATGTTTGAGGTCTCAGTGGGTTGCAAGAATGTTTAACAGGGCTGCTAAACATATGAGAGTGCTGGAAAAAGGGGGTAAGAGTGCCCAAAGAATACAGATCTGTGTTGAGAGCAAGTCTGGGAGCTCGTGAATAGAATGAATTCACCCTGTGGTAAAGACAAATCTCGTTTGTGACTATAATATGGTTAATATTTCAGTACCTTCTGATCATTTCTAAACATGGGATTAACAGAGTCAGAGGAATCTATTCCATGTGTATGTGAATCTGCTCAGTGTCATTATAAAAATCCTCACAGAAAGCTGTACAGTCTAGAGTGGCAAATCAGATGTTGCACTAGAATATGTTATTGTAGATTTTACACTTGGATTTTCTCTGTTGAGAACAAAATTGCAGGTATTCACGGCATTTCCTATCGCCTGCGCACAGGTGATCTGAGTGTAAATACATCCTTCTAAAAGAAATTTATGTTGTTGCTGCAAATTTCTTTGTGACTGTTAGACTGTCTCCAGCACAGCTCTGGTATCTGTCATCACTAGACAGTGGATGTGATGGTCTGACAAGTCTCACCTTCATGAGGATAGCATGGAAAAGATGATTAATGTGCTGTTACCCCCTCAGATACTTCATTTGCCACACGATTCTGCTATATTGTGCTTATATAAGTTCAAAACTTAATACTTTTAAAAAAATATGTGCAGAAAAAACAGAGGCTGTAGGCAGCTGGTTTGAACTTGTGTCTAAACATGGCATTCAAATGTTAATTGTGTGAATAAATCTTTTTCATTTTACAGACATACAAATGTCAGTAGAATGAAACTGATTATCAGAGGATGATGGTTCCTGACACCTGATAAATGCCAAGATGAAGCTACTTATTGGAAGTCTATCGAAATACTCTGTTTGCCATAAACAAATATTCATTAAAAATAGACATGCTTATTTTCTAAGTGGTTGAGACTAATATCTTGGTGTAATTCTAGCATCACAGCTAAAAACCTGATGAAGCAATGCTGTATAAATGCAGCTCAGGAGAACATTGTGGACACCCCAAAATGCAGTAAACTCTTATCTGCAGAATTTTGTTCCTGAGATTTTTTTCTCCACTCTCTCACTATGAGCTGCATATGTTTACAGTTGGTGACTCTCCGTGGTGCTATTTCGTGGTTTTAAATCCACCCTATCAAAACTTTGTTTAACAGAACTAGTTACACTTCACACCTTGCAATCAGCACAGTGAGTTCTTACTCTCAGGTGACAGAGAAGAGAACTGAACAGGGAATTTTAGTTCTGTGTGCACCTTCAGTCAGGATTTGGACAGTTACCAGTTTTAGGTGTTTTTTGTCCTATATTAAAGATACAGCATGCTTAAGAGCTTTGGCTGAAGGTGGTTGTTTCTTCCTCCAGATGGAAGGCCTTTAACTCTGGATGAAATATGGGGAAGTGTTCATGCATCCTACCAGGATCGTCTGCAGGAGGGGCCCTGGGACACTATTACACAGCAGGTGAGAATCCTCTGGTCCTTCATGAAATTGGGGAATGCTATATATGCCTGGATCCTCAGTGGCCTTATTCTTCTCTTGGACAGAAGTGAAAAAAAATATTTAAAAAAATTATATATGTTTATATATATCTATATATATCATGTCGTGCTGAACCATTTGCCAGCAATAGTTTCAGTCCTGGATTTTGAAGGATATGTGTGTTTGCTTTTACATTATCTCACACGTAGAATACTTTTCCAAAGCCAGTCCTCAAAAATTCAGGCAGTTTCTGAGTAATCGTGAATTTGGGTAAATACAAAAGCAGACTTATGTAAATAAAACGTATCAGTATAACATTTCATGGATTGTCTGGTAATCAAATTACCAAAAAAGACTGTGTGTAATTTTCAGTTTTAAATTGCAGCCTTCAGGATTGAACAAGGGAGAATTGGTTTCCTATCCAAATTTAGGATGGCTGTCTAATAGTGCCACATGGCTCAGAGCTGAGCTGGTTGCTCTCGTGTCTTCCCTTTGCTCCAGGTCTCACAAGAAAATCTGACAAAGAATTGAGACTCTGCAGGTGTGAGTTTTTTTCCCATCAGACCAACGTGTACTTTTCCTTTTCCTTTTCCTTTTCCTTTTCCTTTTCCTTTTCCTTTTCCTTTTCCTTTTCCTTTTCCTTTTCCTTTTCCTTTTCCTTTTCCTTT